TTGCAAATGCTTACCATGGTATACGTTTTGCCCCATAGTTGGAGGAGCGTAAAGGCAACATTGAGTTCCATGTGATTGGGAACTCCCTCACGCAAAAGGTGTCCAAGCAGACCATGCTGTGGCTCATCGGCCTCCAGAATGTCTTCTCACACCAGCTACCCCGTATGCCAAAGGATTATATTACAAGATTGGTGTTTGATCCGTAAGTTGGCTGATATGATTTCCCGTTTTTTTCCATTTTCATGGGGCTAATATGTTTGTTTTCCAGAATTTTTTAGTTGAATTACACATGATTTCTTCATGCCATTGTTGTTATATGTTAAAGTGATGCTTCATTAATCAACAGGTCTGATTACCTTACTTTATCCAGATACATGTAGATTACTCCGAACATGTCAAATATAATGTGGTAATTCCCCAACGACAGGAAGCATCGGACACTTGCCTTGATCAAGGACAACAGACCAATTGGTGGGATATGCTTCAGGATGTTCCCCACTCAGGGATTCTCAGAGATCGTATTCTGCGCTGTAACCTCCAATGAGCAGGTTAAGGGCTATGGCACACATATGATGAACCACCTTAAAGACTATCATGTTAAGAATAACATACAGCATTTCCTAACCTTTGCTGATGAATTTGCAATCGGTAAGTATGCTAGCTGTTGAGCTGATGTATCAACTTGTTGGTGAAGTGCACTATAGGTGGATGGGTGGGAACATGGAGGTGCATGCACTTACTGATGATTGTAGAAAAATGATAGTAATTGAAATGTTTGTGTCTATCTTTGAAATACACAGTATATCATTTCCTCAGTGGTGGATCAAGCAACAGGAAATGCTGATGTTGATAGTGTAAACACAAGTTGCTGGTTAGTAATTAGCAAGTGAATATATAATTAAACTAAGTGTGTTTTCAGGGTATTTCAAGAAGCAAGGTTTCAGCAAAGACATTCAAGTGCCAAGATCTGTTTACCAAGGGTACATCAAGGACTATGAAGGGGCAACACTCATGGGATGTGAGCTCAATCCTAGCATTGTGTACACGGAATTCACAGCAGTCATCCGGAGGCAAAAGGAGGTACTTATCATCAAACCATTTTCATTGCTTTATGGTATTTGGTGTATGAAGGTATTTCTCATGCAGCCATTTTCATTGCTTTATGGTATTTGGTATAAGAGGTACCTTTCATACACCCATATGTAATACAAGTTATGCGAGTTCAGTAATTTAGTTGTAGATAAAGTTAACAAACTGTAGGATCAAGCATTCATTTCTCTACTTCAATTCTTCAGATAATTAAGAAACTGATTGAGAGGAAGCAGAGCGAAATCCGCAAAGTACACCCAGGGTTAACTTGCTTCCGAGAAGGGGTCCGAGAGTTGCCCATTGAGAGTATCCCAGGTATCCGAGAAGCTGGTTGGAAACCTCCTGTTCCCTCAACCCGCTCAGCGCGCTCCCCTGACCGCGAACACCAGGATCCAGACTATTTGTACGGGATGTTGAAGACACTCCTCAACAATGTTAGTACCCGATGAATGTAAAGCCATAAATTTTCTTTCTTTCTATCATTATATTTCCTTTGCCTTTTTTTTTTTTTTCTTTTTAAAGGTACTTATATGTTCAAGAGTATTCATTATTAATAGTTTAACCATTAGGATGTGTACCATTAATTCTAAAGAATATTTATTTATTTTATTTTACTTTTTTTATGAGTAAATCTTTCCGTATCATGGTATCTCTCCTGTATTTCTTTTATCCCTGTTTTTATTTTTTTACAGGTTAAAAGTCATGCAGCTGCCTGGCCCTTTCAAGTACCAGTTGATCCCAATGAAGTACCAGATTATTATGACCACATCAAATACCCAATGGGTTAGTTACGATTGTTGCCTTTGTCGTTATTGTTGCAGTTGTTGTTATTCTTATTGTTATTGGCGTTAGTAATTTTTTTGTTCTTATTGTTATTGTTGTTGATAATGTTCCTGCTGCTGCTGGTACCATTACTGTTATTCTTATTTATTTATTTCTGAGATCCCTTGTTTTAACACAGTCTCCCCCAAGAAAAAGGGTTGTATCTATACACGCTAATAACAACTCTCTGTACTTCCCCCATGGCAGACTTGAAGACCATGACAGAGCGTCTGAAGGCCCGCTATTACGTGAAAGCCCGGCTCTTTAATGCCGACATGCTACGCATCTTCAAGAATTGCAGATTCTACAATCACCCAGAGACCGAGTACTACAAATGTGCAAACAACCTGGAAAAATACTATTTGTCAAAAATGAAGGAGACGAGTCTTCTAGAAGGAAATAAATTGTAATGCCCATTATATATATTGTGTTTTAAGGGGGGGAGGGAGGTCAGTATGGATTATTGTAACGTAATTTATCCTTTTTAGAAGGATCTAGTTAAGATTTTTATTTTATTTGTAAAACACATTATTATAGTTATTATTATTTTTATTATTATCATTATTATTATTACTATTTCTGTTATTATTATTATTATTATTATTAGCATCTTTATTAATATTATTGTTATTGTTTGTATTTTTATTAGTATATATATCTTTTTTTCGTATTATTTATTATTTTTTTTTATAAATACCATTAAAATCTTGTAGACAATGCTAGTTCAATATATTTACAAGTGAAATGACGCAACTATGGGAAATACATATATATATATATTCAGACAGTAGATTATTTATTCAAGCTGTTTCATTAAAAGAAAAAAAAGAAAAAGAAAATATAGAAGTGTTCAAATAGATGCAGTGAAGTCTTCCTCGTAAAATTTGCCGGCTATCATAAAAAAAAAAAAAAGCAAAATTAATTATACACGGATAGTTGCGAGTGAATCTTTGTAAGAGTTTTATTGCAAGGATAACAGGCATTTTATGTGGATGGAACATCAAGATAATTTCACTTTATTCTTACTCTTTCTGTGCAATCTTGAATAGGAAGATTGTAAATAGTTTGGTAATAACAGGACAAGTCTTTTTTATGGTTATTAGTGTTATTATTATCATCATTATTATTATTATTATTAGTTTTATTACTATTGTTATTAGTATTCATTATTAGTGGCTATTACTATTATTGATAATATTGTTATTATGATGATTATTGTTATGAATATCACTATTTTTATCCTTATTAAAGTCAATCTCACTGTTAGGAAAGGAGAAGAAAAAGTTCGAACTGTAAATACACAAAAAAGGCACAAAGCTCCAGTCATTTTATTTTTTTATTGTTATAATTTTTTTATTGCAACAAACTTTTCTTGATGTCTTATCAGAGTGTATGGATTTTTGTGTAAATATGTATCAGTGTGTCTACATAGTACTAGTACCAGTAAATTATCTATTGTCAGTATCCTAGTACAAAACAGTACTAGTAGACTCCTACAGTAAACAATAAAAATGTATAAAAAAAAAATAATTTTACTTCCCCTGCTTGATAATGTTTTCAAAGTGAAGGGGATGATGAAATTTATATTTTAAGGTTATTATACCCCTGGATTCACTGCTTGTTGCTGTGGGTAGGTGGGGGGGGGGGGACTTAATAGACACAGACTGAGACCCAAGGTAGGAAATTACCCCTACCTTCGGCTCCTCCCCTACCTCATTTAATTTTGCATGGTCTTTAGTTCTCCCCCCTTCCCTTTTCCTTCTATTCATCCCCTTCTGTCCACTTCCTAAGATGTGAGAGCCGTGCTGGAAGGATGACTGGTTGGTTTTGTGTCAGTCATGAACGGTCTGAGGGAGCCATGGGGACAGTATTTCTGTTTAAGTGTTTAGTCCTTACTCCTTCAAAGGGACTCTAATAGGTGGACCTCTTCTCTCCCCAAAATAGTCCAGGCTTACCATGGATAGTAATGAAGATTTTTCACCTTTACTAGGGTAGTTAGGTTGCCCCTTTATCTACTAGCCCCATTAATTTTAATTCCCCCTGTTCCCTGATCCTAGGCCTTTCTTTGACCATGACTGAACACAACTACTCCCTCCTCACTGCCTAGGGACTTCGCGAGGCTGTCTAGGGATCCCAGAACAGAAAAGACTAGTGTGATCTGCATCTTACACTACTCCCTCTTCCACATGTCCCTTTCATTCTGTTACCCCTACTTTTAAAAACCTTTTGAATACTCTTCAACCTAGCCAAATGGCATCAACCCTCTTCAGCCCCTTACTCTGCCAATACTCTCTAGTTCCAGCAATGCCTTCAACAACAAGTAGGCAAAGGTTACTTCTGCACTGCCCCGATAATTCCCGCCTTGTAGTTACATCCAAAGCCCAAACTAAAGCATTATCTATTCTGAATGACTTCACTGGCAGACTCATTCCTGTCCAGCCTCATCCTTCCCTCAATACTTGTACCGGAACTGTCTCCATCTCCCCACTAGACTGCCCGGTTTATAGATTGGTAAGATTAGAAGGCTTACTTGTCTGCCTCTTGGACTATAATGCAGTATTAGAACCAATACCCTTAGAGCTCGCCAAAATTAGTTTCCGTAGACATGAATTTCCTCTTAATGTGTATAATAATGGAGGTCCCTCCCTGTCCAACCAGATCAACTTCACCCCCCTACCCCGTTAATATCACAATTGTTGGCGTCTAGGCCACCGTGCTATAACACCGTCGCTCCACAGCTCGATGATCTTTATATGCTTAACTTGGTTATGTTTGATCAAACTGCTCTGTACAATTACGCACGTGTGCCATTTGTGGCAGCTCCCATAATGTGTATTATAGGGGCTGTCCTACCTACAAGTTTAAGTTTGAGGTGGCAATTTTCATATTCAAACTTAGCCTCACTTCACGCGATGCCAGACAGGAACCACATCTACGAAGTTTGACTGTTAATCCCCACTCCAGGGCTGCCCTTCCCTTCGCTTCTCCCCATTCCTCCCAAGATGTTTATTATATCCCCCCCGTATTTCTTCCTCATCCCACTTCTACCCCTTCCCTCTCCCTCTCCCAGTCAACCTCTTTTACCATCG